GTCCGCATCACGTGTCTAAGCAATAAATCATTTCCACTTGATTTTTCAATGTGATTTCTAATCGACTGAAATAGATCGTGAGGCCCTTACAGACAAGCCTAAGATGCATCCTCCCCTGCGATCCGAACCTCGGAGCAGCCAGTACCACGGGAAACGGAAGCGCCCGGAATGCACTCTCACCCAAGAAGATGCAGCGGCAGCAGGAGCAGGTGGACGTTCAACACATATGCCCGGGCGCGGGCGAAACTGAAATCTCAGATAATCGCAGTCTGCATGGCGACAGTCCACGTCTGCCACGTCAGGAGGCCGGTCTCATTCATCCCACAAGCCAAACCCGCCAGGCTGAGCAGGGTGACTAAGCGCCGTGCATAACGCCTGTAATCACAGCCAAGGGTACCCAGACCCTCAGACTCCACGCCGTGCAAGTCAGGGAGTGGGAAAGCAGAGAAGGGACAGGGGGACAACCACACGGCGTGTGGGGACACGGCCAGAGTCCACGTCTTGGATTCTGTGGCTGTTTCTGCCACTGTCCTACCAGGTGGCCTTGGGAAAGCCACTTGGTCCTCTGAGCCTCTGTTTCCTCGTCTGTGAAATGGGGGCGTGACGCTGCCCTGCCCACGCCCTGTGGCTGTCTGGAAGAACATGTGAGTCTCTACCCGAGAAAGATGGGGGAGAGGACAAAGCGCGCACTCTCCTCGCTCTCACGCTTTCACTCTTGCTGCCGTGCCCTCACGGGCGTGGCGGCTCTGCGGATCCCTCCGCGTCTGCTTGTGCCTCTGAGTGGGCAGCGGCCAGAGCGGTGCCACCATGTCCACAAAAGGAAGCAGCCCCGGGTGCGTGACTGAGGGGTCTGTGTCAGAACCGGGTGCACGCGCCTGCAGGGGTGTGTGTGCGGGTCTAAGGGAGAGGAGTACCTGGACTGCCTTGGCGCACAGGGAGATGGGCGCCACAGTGACTGGCACGTTTCATGGCGAGTGGCAGCCCGGAGACGTGGCTCCTCCCCCTCACGCGTGGGCAGTGCGTGGCCAGGCCAGGTAGGGGAGGCTCACGCCTCCCTCAGAGCCGGCGTCCACCCACGTCGTTCGCAGCCTCGGGCTGTATCTGACAGCGGCGTCTGTCACCTCGCCAGCAATCTCCGTGATGTCCCACCATCAGCTAGGGCTAAAGAAAGGCGGCGAATGGAAGACGGAGAAAATATGGCACCGGAACAAACGAGAGAGGCAGTGGTTCCCCGAGTCCTCTCCCATGGCTGCAGCCTCCCGTTTGCCGTTGAGGGGCAGGCAGCAGCTGACCCCGGTCGGGGACGCACGGAGGCCCAGTCAGCAGGGCCACGCTTCCCGTCTGTCACTGCAGGGCGTGAGGACAGTGCGGGAGTAGGCGTGTGAGCGCGTGCAGAAGGACCAAGTCTGGGGAGAAACCAGCCTGCAGGGGTTCCGCAGGAGGCACACGTGTGAGCGCCACCAGGTAGAGTTGGTGACCAGGAACAGAGTGGTGGCCGTGAGCAGAAGCTGGTGACCAAGGGAAACTGAGTCCTTCCTGCTGTGAGGGGGCAGGAGTGAAGGGAAGGAGCTTCCTTCAGCCCAAATGAAGACTCTTCCCAGCGCCCAGGGGGTGGGGGGAGGAGGCAGGGTGAAGGGTCAAAGACGGAAGAGAAGGGCTCGAAGCATGTTTACCTGTGATTATTGGCTCTGAGGGCTTCGGAATCCCTTCCTTACAGAGGTGCTATCTGTAGCTGCCCCCACCTTCTACTTTGCAAATGCACATGGAATTTAGGCGCATTAAGAAGACTCAAAGAGGCCGATTGTAGCTGATTCCAAGCATCTTATCGCAGGGAGAGGGACAGATTCCACGTGTCCAAGTTCACATGACGGGACAGTTCGTTCTTTCTGGAAATGTCACGAGAACTCTGTTTCAGAAATGCCATTCCCGTCGATCCCTGAAGGAAGAGCAGAGACTGAAACTGCTGTATGAACACGTCTGTGGACACTTGGAATTACCGCGGGCTGTGAGCCTCGAGCTAGGCGCCCCGCTCTCTCAGGACTGAGGCAGGGAGAGCTGAGCGCTCACAGCCCTACCCAGGTCAGGTCCAGGCCCGGGTGTCCTGGATGCAGGCGAGCAGGTGGTCGGAGATGGGAGTGGGCGGGAAACAAAGGCCAAGCTGGACCTGCTCACGGAAAGGGAAAGAAGGGAAGGAGGCGACATGCCAAATGTGGGCGCCCAGAGTCAGGCCACGGAGTCTGTGTCGTTCTGAAGCCAGCGGCGAACCACGTGAAGTTCAGGGCAGGGTGGTGCCGTGGTCAGAACTGCTGTTCCTCAGGTGCATCCGCGGCGAGAGCACCACGTGAGGGACACGCCATGGGAGGAGGCAGGACCAAGACTGGCTGTGGCCGAGGGCCAGGCCTGTGGCTCTGGGGGCATCGGCTCCAAATACCTAAATTTCCTTCTTTTTTCCTATGTTTAGAACCTAGTCTGTAGTGGGATAGGATTTTGTGTTAAGGCTTTCTACTAGGAAAAGTTAAACACCACGACGTTCATGTCACTGGGACGTCCCCAGCGCCATGTGTCACTAAAGCCACGTCGAGGTTTCCAGTGAGCACTGATTTCAGTTGCAGCTTGGATGGCTCCAGTGAGTTCACCAACACCGTTCTTAGTCTTAGTTCACCAACACCCTTATAGGGGCTGCAAGGGTGCTCAAAGTATAGATGTTTGCTCCTAGATTGTTCAACGTAACATTTCTCAAAGCATAAAATACATAATACACCTATCTCTGGATTTTTGGTGTGTTTTGGTCCAGGAAATATAATTTTAGATGTGAGGTCAGGCTGATAAACAAGAGCTCTGACGCTGACTTCTCTCCGTAGCACGTCTTTGTCTCCCTGAACTGCTTGCGTGGGGATATCAAGAAACCCAGAAGGGAAGATTAAAACAAAGGAAAGGTCTGGAGACCACTGAAAGAAACGCGGCATCCTTTATTTTTGAGAACAGTGACGGGGCCGCGAAGGACACTGTGAAATTGCCTGGGTATGAATTACAGTTTTGACCTGGAGTGACTGTTCCAAGGATAAGTACCCAGGAGACTTATAAAATTCACAGCGGGAGGCGCACACCACAAACACGCTGCACGTCTACCCCGGAACGTGGGCTGCCTTCTCGGGGTGCTTGGTGCTCAGGACCACCATCCCCATAAACATCCACTGTGGGTCGGGGGGGCCCACTTCTATCCTGGACACGAGAGGCCCCACTTCCATCCTAGACAGGAGAGGCCCCACTTCTATCCTAGACACGAGAGGCCACACTTCTATCCTAGACACAAGAGGCCCCACTTCCATCCTAGACACGAGAGGCCCCACTTCTATCCTAGACACAAGAGGCCCCACTTCCATCCTAGACACGAGAGGCCACACTTCCATCCTAGACACAAGAGGCCCCACTTCTATCCTAGACACAAGAGGCCCCACTTCTATCCTAGACACAAGAGGCCCCACTTCTATCCTAGACACAAGAGGCCACACTTCTATCCTAGACAGGAGGGGCCACACCTCTATCCTAGACACAAGAGGCCACACCTCTATCCTAGACAGGAGAGGCCCCACTTCTATCCTAGACACCAGAGGCCACACCTCTATCCTAGACAGGAGAGGCCACACCTCTATCCTAGACACAAGTGGCCACACCTCTATCCTAGACAGGAGAGGCCCCACTTCTATCCTAGACACAAGAGGCCACACTTCCATCCTAGACACAAGAGGCCACACTTCTATCCTAGTCACGAGAGGCCCCACTTCCATCCTAGACACGAGAGGCCCCACTTCTATCCTAGACACGAGAGGCCCCACTTCCATCCTAGACACAAGAGGCCCCACTTCTATCCTAGACAGGAGGGGCCCCACTTCCATCCTAGACACGAGAGGCCCCACTTCCATCCTAGACACAAGAGGCCCCACTTCCATCCTAGACATGAGAGGCCCCACTTCTATCCTAGACAGGAGGGGCCCCACTTCCATCCTAGACACAAGAGGCCCCACTTCTATCCTAGACAGGAGGGGCCCCACTTCCATCCTAGACACGAGAGGCTGGGGGAGGGGCGTGTACACTGACCGCTCTCAGAGGCAGACACAGCTTCAGGGGCAGCAGGACCCCTCTAAAGAAGAAAGGCAAATTAACCCTCTCACGGGGTCTCGGCCACGGGGAGCAGAGTGTGGTTTCTAGCTGCCCTTAGCCGCCGCCCGGCCGGCTCTCACATCCCTCCATGCAGTCCCGGAAGCTCACCCCTCGCGCGGCAACCCCGGCAGCTGCCCACGCCCACGAGGCAGCGTTTTGCAGTATTAAGCCACGGCCACCCTGGGGAACACTGAATGCTAGAATTATAATCTTACTTCTGTTACAATATTTCATGATACTGCATTAAATTTCCTATAAATTTACCATTTTCCAAAAAATTCTAAAAACTTCAGGTTTAAATAAATTTAGATTTTATTAAATATTTAGTATCCATTAACTATAATCTAAACTGTACATTTTAATTTTAGTCATTTTGAAATATTCTATTAAAAAAACTAATGTATATGAATTTCAGCTTTTTTATTTTTAATATTTGTGTTTTTGATAAAAACTATATCAAAATAGGCTACGCCTTGGATACAAAAACATTTTATTTTTTAGTCCTTTAAAGAAGGGGATTGCCAAACATTTCCCGTAGGAAGCCAAATAACAGACATTTCAGGCTCTGTCTCATGCTGCAGGTGTGGGGCGAGAGCAGCGTGGACGACTCGGGACAATGTGGGCACAGCCGTGTTCCAATAAAACTTTATTTGCAGGTCAGTGTCTACCCCGAGGGCTGCCGACCCTGTGTCTATCATTGCACAGTAGGGAGTGGGGGTGGGAGACAGACGCGGCGGACAGGGCCCCAAGGCTGGGCTGACGCAGGTGGGTCAGGCCCCTTATGAGCAGGAATATTGGTCAAGGGGCAGCAGAAGAAGAAAATAAAGAGGATGTTTTTGTAAATTCACTTAGTAATTTATTCATCACACACTACGCATTTGCGTCAAAAGTCAAAATTCACTTATGTTCCAAACTGTAAGGAAAACAGCTTACGTGGAGGGTTGAACACCTGCGCCCAAACTGGAACTCAGAGTTTGCCTTTTTGCAAAACTGGTGGACAAGTTCCCCCCTCGGACATTAAAATGTAAGCATTTACGTGCTATTAACATGGGGGTGCAGAGTGACCACAGCCCCAGGGCCTGCTGTGGTCCGAGGCCGTGCCCCCAGGCCTCCAAGTGATGGCTCAGAGCTGGGCCCTGGGCAGGGGATGGCGCTCGGCCCTGGGGGCGGCGTCGGCTCCTCAGGAAAGGGCTAGAGGAACTAGCGAAGCCTTTCTGCCTTTCTTTCTCTCCTGAGTGTGAGGACACAGAGCTCGTCCCTGCTGGACACAGCGAGAGGTGCCCTGTGGGAAGCAGGGCCCAGGCCCTTCCCGGACACCAGAGCTGCCGGCACCGTGGTCTTAGACTTCCCCATCCGGAGGACTGTGAGCAGCACATTTCTCTTCTTTGTCAGTGACTCAGTGTCACAAAACAGTGACCCGGGTTTTGTTACAGCAGCACAAGGGTACTAGGGCAGAGTGGTCAGGGAGGTGTGGCTGCTCCCCAGACCCAGGCTGGCACTCAACCTCAGCCACCACCACAGCCACAGGGGTCACCGCTGGGTCCCAGAGTGCAGGGCCGTCTCCTGGGGCATCAACCACGGGAACAGCAGCTCTCACCGGGATCCCAGAGCGAAGCCTGCCTGTGACACTGGGCCTCCAGTCAGCGTCACCCCTGCAATGTCAGCGGGCGACGCAGGCCTCCGGACGGGAGAGAGCCTGGACACCCCAACTGGGCCCCCTGACAACTTGAAGATGTGGGGAAAAGACACGATGGAGATGAGGTTCACGAGGAAACGGAAGATTTGATTGAGCGCAAGTGGGAAGACAAAATTCAGGGGGAAGTTACAGTTCCTTCCCCAGTAAAGCCAAAATCCTCCTGGGAAACACATCCCTTTCTACGCTGGATTTTTCTGAGCATCTGGTGACCGTTTGCTCTGGCAATTTCTGCACTGAGACTTTATTCATAAATTGTTCTGCAAAGTCCTCTGCAATACTCAAGCCATGAAAAAGTCTACATAAAAATGCTTCCTCCCGAGGCCTGATTTTCTACCAGAGGGTTTTCAGCACATGCAGAGAGCTCCTGATGCCAACCTGTTCCAGCACCTGGGAGCCCTTCCAGCGCCGTGCAAGCGTTTCTGTTCAAGGTCTCAGACCCACTTCCAATGTCTTGCCTTTTGCTGACTGAAGCCATATTTCTGGTGTCATTAAATAGTTTTTGTGTGCACTTGCATTATCTATTAAACTTGCAGTTTGATTATATGCATAACGAATAGTTTTTCTGTCACTTACATTCACAAATTAGTGTGCTGACTCTGCCAGAGTCTCTTCTTTGACACCCACTTGGTCAGACTCACAAAGGCTCAATGTCAAATGCTTATTTCTGGCATTCACTCATCCACACCTCCCAAAAAATCTACCTTAAGCTGTGATTCTCAGATACTCACACCAGAAGTGATCATCATGCCACTCCCTGGCTAATGCAGGGTTTTCATTTCGTGTTCTGGCAACACATCTAGTCGGTGGTGGGCACCAATCGCACAGAAGCTGTTCCCGGGAGGGGTCGACATCCTCACCCAGCAGCAGTGAGGGCTCTGCAGTGCCAAAGGTGAGACATGCAAGGTCCTCTGCAACCCACCGGCCTGTGCTACTGCTCCTCCACATGCCCCAAAATGCTGACCTGCTGCCTGACAGGCTCTGTGTGGCCTAAAATGAATTCAGGTTAAATGACTGGGTAAAATAATGAATGCCACCAAACACCTTTTCTTCTGGGTTATAATCTTCGTCTGTGAGGCAGGACGTGGCATCCTCTGCAGGAACTAGTAGGACAATACAGTCGTCTCTAAGGAATAGGCAGTCTTTTCAGATGCTTCATCTCCTTCACTTTATATTTTAATCTGGATGTGTTGCTCTATGATCACCTAAATGTGGAGTGTGTCGTGTAAGAGGGGAACATTCAACTCTTCCTTGCCTTCTTTCTCCTGAAATAATGACACCCACACCCTACCCACACTATCGCACCTCCACGTAAAATTATGAATGCAAGATAGTGAAGAAAAGCGCTAACTTTCCTTGAATACTAGGTTTTCTTGTATTTTTCTAAAAAATACAAACTTTTCTTTGAAGTCGATATAAAGTACCAGGAGATGTTCAGCTGAGTGTAAAGGGAGGGGCCTTTACCCACCAACACCGCCCCTCCCTGCCACACCCCCACCCCTCCACGCCACCCACAAAAACCAGCACCCAGAATTTAAAGGAGCAATGAAAGTCCTCGACACAGAGGGACAGAGAGCCCCTCTGCAAGGCAGAGAAGCTCAAAGATCCTCCCTGAGGAAATAACCCTGAAATACACACTCTAAGGTCACGGCAGCAATGCCAGGACCGTCCTCCCGACACCTGATGGATTTGGAAACAAGGAGCAGTCACCCCCCGAGGCTTCACAGAGCCCTGGAGAGGGGCTCCGTCCTCCCTACAGCTGTGGTCTGTTCGTCAGCCCTGGAAGGAGACGTTAGTTAGCACTCCATTTGCTGCTGTGCTCATCTTCTGCAGTATTTCCTCTGGGGCCAGGATGGCCATTCCCTGCCCTCCCTCTCCCAGCAGTACCTGAACCCTTAGCTCACCTGGTGCCAGGACAGAGGCCGCGCCGGGGCAGCCTACGCAGGACGCTCTCGGCATCCCCATCTCTGCAGGAAAAAGTCCTGCTCCAATGAGGGGGAACGTCGTTTTGAATAAAAGCAATAGTATATTATAAGAAAATGTAAAAAGCTCCATTTTACATGCCGCAAGTTTTTAAGCACAACCAGCAGGAGCTCGCTGCTCCCTGCATCCAGAGGGATTTTCAGCACCACCCTACTGCGTTCCCAACTCTGCACTCGCGCAGCACGGAACTCACCTGAAAGGATGCTCTGGACTGTTTCCTACCTGCCCCGTCATGAAGAGCTGCTGTGGCACGCAGGCAGCCATGTGAGCGGGAGCTTAGCGGAGCCCCATTCCACACCAGGCAGGAGCTCCTGTGCACACCGTCTGTCCCATCTGTGAGAAAAGAGGCAAGAAAAGATGCCCTGAACAGAAGGAATCACGCCCCCTCCCGCCCTGCCAAAACGCCTTTGTGGACTTTGCCCAGGAGGCTGCCGTGTCCACTTCTCCGTCGTCTGCTTCTTGGGTGTCACTAGCCGGTGAGAGCCACAAACACACAGAGTGGCTGACAGGAGGGATTTGTATTATTTGCTGATATAAAAGTGCCGCCAATATCACAGTGAGAGGCTAAGAGAAATGACTGCCACGGCCTGAAATGCCCGAGAGGGACAGAGGGACAAGGAGGTCGGCTGAGGCGGTCGCCCATGGGCTGCAGTCAGGCTGCGAACCACCAGGCACTACCAGGAGGGGAGGAGGCTGTGTCCACACGCGGGAGCAGGTGATCTCACTCAGAGAAGGAAACAGACGCTTCAGCACAGGCATCGGAGCTTTATTCAAAACAGTTCACAACCTTTTGTGTTCTCAACAGTTTTCCAAGTTCTTTTAGACTGAGGTCTAAAACCGTGGACAGGCCTAAGAACTGTGCTTTGCGTGTCCACCAGCACACACAAAGCGACCCCACGCTGCCACGGAGACTGGCCCGCGCTGGAGTCTCCGGCTCTCCCATGAGCCAGTGTATGAGGAGCACAGACCAGCTCCAGACTCCCCGCGAGGGTGGTGGGCAACCTCGGGAATGGGCCCGGCTCATCCCTGCACTCATTTCCTAGAGCCGCTACAACAGCGTGCAGCTTCCGACTCACGGCTGTGCACCTCGGAACGTTTCTGCTTTATGAGATGCGAAAGCAGTTTCCATTCGCAGAAGCTGAACATCGAGCACCCACACAACCTCCCGTGTTTCACTCTCAGTGTTCAGTAAAGCACATGAGAAATCCACCACTTGGTCATACAACGCGCTGTGTGCGGACGGTTTTGCCCAGCGCGGGCTAGCGCGAGTGCCTGAGCCGTGCCAGCGGGTGGTCCAGTCCTCCGAGTGCTTCTCCAACCTGCAACCGGCTCATCAGGATGCAGCCCCATCGTGACTTGAGGAGACTCTGTGCTGTAAATCAACAGAAACTTATTCTTTACAGTTCTAGAAGCCAAAAGTCCAAAACCAAGGTGTCCACAGCTCTGTCCGGAGCTCTGGGAAAGAGTCCTTCCTCGTCCCGTCCTCTCCTGGAGGGTCCAGCAGGTCCCTGACTGAGGGCAGCATCCCCATCTCTGCCTTCACAGGGTCTCTCTCCGGAACACCAGTTGGAAGGGTCAGGGACCACCTTAAATCCAAGGTGGCATCGTCTCAAAATCCTTATCTACGTAAATCGGCAAGCACCGCGTTCCAAGTCGGTCATATTCTGAAGTTCCGGGGCGGGGACACAACCCAACCTGATACAGGGCCTGCGCAGCGCGTTCTCTCCCTGCCAGACCCAGCAAGGCAGAGGTTTTCTACCCGTCGGTGATTCTCCACCAGCTTCCGGGACGGTGCTGACGCCCTTAGGTCCCTGATCTCATTCAGTCCTCACGCTCACCCCAAAAGGAGACTCTCATTTATGGAGCAGAAAACTACAGGTCAGGACAGCTAAGTTACCAGGATGCAGCGGGTAGGAATTCCATCCAGGCCTTTGCCTCTCTTGGAACGGAAATGAGGCAACTGCCTGGAGCCTCAGACCACAAGGCCGGGAAGACATCGCTAACACGGGAGACCCAGCAGCCCCGGGCTCTCCGGGCAGGTGTCTGCCCCAGTCTGCAGCGGGCTCCACTCTCGACAGCCCTGGGGGACACAGGGCGTCCCGCCTGTGGGACTGTCCTTCCGAGTGCCGTGTTTGGAACCACCACTGCCTGATATGGCTAATGAATTTTACAATCAGAAGCTAAAGCGAATTAGCTGTAGCAGATGTTTTTACTCTGGGAACTACCAGACCTTTCTGGCCATTCATTTATCCTTCAAGGGGATAAAACTCTACCCTGCTATTATGTGTTGTCATTGGAGCATTGCACAACTTTATCAAACTTTTTATTCTGGAAACTGAATTAATTTTCTGCAAGGGGGTTTTGTGTGGCTCTTTAATCACATTTACTGGGGAACATGTGTACTGTGGGGCGGGAGAGCCGATTGCGGCTTCCAGAAAGGCCACTTTCAAAAGGAGATTGCCCTCGCTCCCGAGGCCTCCATCTGAAGGTCCCCGGGTTTTGTGAAGAGGAAAAAATTAATTACTATTTTAATAACGAAGCCAAGCTTGCTGAAAATCCTCTTAGAGAGTGGCGGATGATGTAATGGCTGGCAGGGGGGATATTGAAAGCGCTGGCCACACAGCCGGCCTTTGGCCTTTCTGTTCACTCTCTGTAAGATGATATGGGCTGCAGGTCACACATCAGGGAATTGGAAATATAATAATAACACTTCTTCCCCGGGAAGGGGAGAAGTTGTGATCCTGAGACAACAGGTTGGTGGAGACCCACGTCTGCCTCAGCCTCCGTCATCGCCAGATGCCCGAGGCTGGAGAGCTGTGCACTGCGGCCACTGTCGCTCTCGGGCAGGCTCCGCAGGCCCCGGGACCTTGGGTTCGGGTCTGAAACGAGCGGCTCCTCTGTTCATTCATTTCCGGAACCCGGTAGGGTTCGCACTGGGCTGGCAGGCTACCCTCTAGTCCTCCAAACACATCTCTCTGTCTTCTTGAAGAAAACATTGAGCTTTAGTTTCCTGTTTCATGTTTGGTTTGTTTCTCCTGAAAAGTAAAAGTTTTGTACCAGACTTACAAGTTTGGGGTTCAAGTCTCATTACTGTTGATCCTTCCCTCTGCCTTTTAGCAGGCAGGGGCCCAGGGAACAAGATGCGATGGGGAGACATCTCCCACCCAGATCCCGCTGCCTCTGATACGAATGCTGGGGCGTTGCACATCAGACGAAGGGCTAGTAAAGCTCTGCCCCCACGCACGGTTCCAGACAGCCCACTGCGCCTGTGGCTCCGTCACACACCCATCTCCTGGCCTTTCTGTCCCTTTTCTCCGTGGCATCTTTGTATTCCACACTCTTCTCCACCGTCCACCTCTGCATGTTCAGGAAGCGCCACCCTGGCACCACGTGCAACCGCAGTTGGACAGGAGTGTCCGCCCGCAGCGGGCCGAGGGAAATGCCGAGCGCGTCAGGCAGGACACAGCGCGGCAGGGCCCAGTGGGCCTGTTCTGATTTTAGACCTGTTCTACCTAAGGAAGAAACTACGACAAATTACTGCTCAGAGGGAGAGACAGTTGTGTCGGTAGCTCTTCCTGTCGGACACACAAGCTCTGCCCCTTCCTGCAACCACAGCTTTGTCTTCAAAACCAAAGAGAGCAACTTGACTCCACTGAAGAGGAAGAAAATGTATCAGACTAACAAATGGGGAAGTTTTATTAGCTGTTTATAACCTGTATTTTTTTCTAAATTGCTAGAGTTAGCATAAAAGCGACGTGTCACACTGATGGGAAGTGTCCCAGTTAGGATTATGAATTCTGTGACAGCACAATTGCCTTGATATCAATATGTTTTTTCATGAATTGCAAAGAAAAGCAGGTGTATAAAAATAAAACTCACATAAAATATAAATTATCATCATGCAAGTTAATTCTATACCCTCGGGACACAATAGCTCACGCACTTTATATTTGCAAAAATGTTTGCGAGTTACTTTTTGAGATTTATTTATTTATTTCTATTTATTTAACATTTTTTTTCCTCGCTGAGAGAACTCTGCGAGGTAGACATCTTATTTCCATAACCATCCCTGGGGGACAACAGTCATAAAGCGTCTCTGCGTTAACCTTGATATCCCAGACAGCGCGCGGAGCACAGCATCCGCAATGAACCCCGCCCCGCGGAGAGGGGAGCGGAGGAAGAGTGAAGACAAGGGCCTTCCCTGCCAGAGCCGGTGCCCGGGAAGTGGACAAGCCCACGGAAAGTAAGTCGTGGCTCTGCGGCACAGCTGCTCCTTAAGGGACCCGCATCTAAGGGGCGGAACTCAGCCCACACGCTGCGGGCACCATTAAGTACTTGTATCAGAAATGTCTTAGTTTCTGTGTTTGAGGTCGACACCAAAAAAAAAAGCAGCCTGTAAACCTCTGATGAACAGATTAATGTCTATTTTGCCCCCGAAAGGAATTGGGACTCTTTAGAACCTTCCTACAGAATCATCACCAACAGTTGCTCACCACAGAACACCTGCCGGCTACAGCTTCCCCTGGTGCACTCGGTGCTGGAGGCCCTGGCTAGGCTGCAGCCTCCACCAGCGGGCCTGAGTGGGGCTGAGAGGACCCTCGGGGCAGCTTCCAGGTGACCATGATGGGGGGAGGGAGTCCAGGGGGAACCAGCACACCGAGGGAAGAGCGCCCAGTTGTCACTTCCCACGTTACGGGAGTCCTTGTGTTGACGTCTCCGGACACCCTGCCCCGCACCGGCCTGCCAGCTGCTCCAGGGAGAGGCAGCAACTTTGACACTTTCACCTTCCGGTCCATGGGAGCCTCCCAACTAAAACTCGCTGAATGTATGAAGGTGACACTCGAAGAACTAAGAAAGGCAGCCGACCCACCGTCGGCCCTGCAGCTACTCTCATGGCTCATATCCTGCCCTTGCAAAGCAAAGACTCCCACCCGCCCGGGTGGCTCCATCACCACGACTATGCCAAGAACTCACACGATTCTTGCCCGTTGGTCTCCTCTTTCTGCAACGCAGAAAGGGCAGCCTCCCTCGCACTGGATTGGGATCCTGGGAGTGGTTCCTGCCCACAGGACATGGACAAGTCACATCCGCTCCACCCGTGGTCTGACCCACGTGCTGCTATCTTTGCTCACCAGTTGCCTAATGAAAAGTGTCTGGGATTCCAGCGGCCCCTGTCTAAGACAGTGGTCCCCAGGGGAAAAGGGACCAGGACCCCAGGGAAGACACAGGAGGCCAGTCGAGCTCTGAGGAAATACTAACCTGTGTGTGGCGCCACTGAGGTATGGAGATGTCCTTGCAACAGCCGGGAGCTCTGTGCCCAGGCCCTGCTGTCA